CACTCTTTCAATCTTTATCCTAGTTCATTTCACACAACAAACCTGAAATATGACAAAAAGCACTCAAATAAGCAAGCAAAGTGGTGAGAGACACGTAATACATTCAATTGCTTTTCCCTTAAACTACCTAATCCCTTCTGACATCTGCATTTTATCATCACCACCACAAATCTGATTACTCTAAACTTAAATCCTTTAAATACTGGAATGACAAAGAAATAAATTTCAGCACTACTCCCTGATTATGCATTTGAAATTTATAGCCATCCACATGGGTGGCCATAAGCAACAAATACTAAGAATTCTGCAACCATAATTTCACACAATTGAAAAAAAAAAGTTATCAATTGTTAAATACACGTTTTCACATTTATATAAACACTCTAACTTAGTACTACCTGTTCCAACTTTACGCAGGGTTTCCTCAGGGGTTGATCCATTTGTATCTTCTGATCCAAGATCTTTTTTCTGACCATTGGAAGTATAAACTCTCACTTGACTCATCAACTGTACAGGCAGACGACTGCATGTCAGAATATAAGACAGACTCCCACTTTTCATTGAAGCTTGCCATCCTAACAGGGAAAGGAAAAACAGGTGTTTCAGGTAACCTTTTCAGAAGTAAAAAGAAATGAAAGTGGTCCAGCTATACCAGCATAAGTTATGGAAAGTTAGCTTTTAAGTACTGATCTGTGCTTATTTTACCCTTATGTTCAGGAAATACACAATGGGAGTACACATCATGCTTTCACTGCCTCCCTTTTAACATCCACCTTTAAACTTCACCCTAACATTAGGGGGGGGGTTTCCCATATAATCTAGTACGCACTTTTCCCAAAGACCTCTAGATGATGATTAAAAAAAAAATATAAATACAAGCTATTTAAGAAGATTAGCTTACTGATATATGAAGTCCCATTCTAGTCATACTGCCTCAAAATCTTTAAAAAACAAGTACTGATAAAAGAACAAACACAGACCACTACAAAACTATTAGTCGGTCTTGCCATTTCATTTAGCTCTGTGTACACTCTGTACAAACCACAGCTTACTGATTAATAAAAACTGAACTGTCTGCATTACACATTAAGAGCAACTTGCTAGGAAATTACATAGAAAAGCACACAACATTGTATAAAACATTTTATACAGAAGAACCTTAAGTTTTGCAAAATTTACAACAGACAAATTACAAGATAAATATGTAAAAAAGCCTACTGATAAATTACCCTGGGTAGACAACATTCAATTTCAAACGTCTAGCCAAAAGTAGAGTTGTATGCAGTACAGGCCAATCTGTATTAGCAACCAGCTGCTTTTAGGCAGCACAAACACTTCTGTAGAGAGGGTACATAACCCCTCCAGCCAGAAATGCAACAGGCAAACTGGCTGCTTTGGAAAGGACTCATTAAAAGAATAAATAAATTAAAAATTAATAATAATAATCAGTGCTGGTAAATCAAGTCATAGGAAGTATGACTAATCATATATTAATGATCCACCTCTCACAAAATGTTATTTATAAAACTGTTTATTCCATAAAAGTCGCAACAGCGTTCCTTTTATTGCATTCCTCTACAGTACCAAAGCATCTGCACGTGTGCCTGCACTGACGTGAACCTCACGGAGCAATTTCACCCAGAAAAGTCAGATAAGCTCCTATTGACTATTAGTTGTTGCTAACACAACAAAAACTCAGAAAAATCAACTCAACGTAGCTCAGTGAACTTACTGATTCCAACTCATAAAGCATTACAATAAACACACGGCACAAGATGAGCAGCACTGTTTCCTAAGCTTTAGTGATACTGGAGCAGCTGAAAAAGAGAAATTTTTCCCACTAATCCATGGATACACAAGAAACCATTACAGGGAAAGGGTATTTGCTGCAGTTCAACCATCAAGAGGAACAAAATCGTTCAGAATTTAAATTTCATGGGATCTGTGCCTAAAGGAGAAGCCAGGGCTCACTCCTCAGACAAACACAAACCCTGTGGGCCCGCTCTTCATTCTGTGCCGTTACTGCAAACTTCAGCCCCAAGGCGGGCAGGGACGATCGGTTTTACTCACGCAGACGTGGGGCTGGGAGGGCAGCAGGCCTGCAAGGGGCGTGTGAGAACAGCCGCGGCAAGGCATTCCCCGCCGACCGGGGCGGCTATGGCCTGAACGGGTTCCTTCTTTTTAAAGTCGAAACGCGGTCTGTGCCCGCGGTCTGTGCCGGCTCCCGGCCCGGA